TGCCATAGATGATATAAAATATATTTTTTAATATGATAAATCCATAGAACTTCTATACTCAACACACATACACGGTCTATTGATACACCGTGTACGTGTTCTTTTACAGAAATCTTTGTGGTCTGCAATGTATTCTTGTTTTCTATTTCAGTTATTTATCGCATACTAAATTTAACCAAACTAATTAGTCCACAAGTTTATAGACATCACAAATGACAAATATATACTATAAATAGAGTATATTATTATAATTTATATACACGAATACACTATGACACTTTTAAATGTAATTTTTTGGTCAAAAATGACTATAACCTACTTTTTTAAATCAAATTTACAGTATCGACTATAATACCAACTACCAGATTCTAAAATTCCAAGTCTATCATTTTCTCCGAATACTGCTGAATAAGAAATTATAATAATAATGATATATGTTAATTTTAAATTTATCGGATATATTTTAGATTTTAGATTCTGAGCGGATCGATGACTGAATTAATTTTACAACGATGTGTTCTTCAATTTTTAAATTTTTAAAATGATTTTTTCTTGTGGTCTGTGTGAACGATTAGTATTCATAATAACTAATAAGGAATCAATTTTCATATACAATATTATATTATAGGCACTCAGAATGTAATCATTTATTTGCTTTTAGTTTAGTTGTAGGTATTTAGTAAATAATAATAGGTATACGAAATTGTGTTTTCGAATAATAATTTATTGTTTGCATTAGTAGCTACACCATAACAGGGAACTAAAATGTTGTACAATTTTTATTTGGTAGGTGTAGATAGTGTATAAATGATTTACAAATGTAGTTTTGATGTTTAAAGGATGTTGTAAGATCAATAGGTACTACATAGGTATTACATATATTTTTCGAAAAAATTATTTAATGTCTCACGGGTTGATCTAGCAACTGACTGCTACGACAACTGTGCAATTTTTTTAAGCATAATCCGTTTTGATAACATCCAGAAAAGAGTTTGTCTTAAGACTGTCTGTCTTGATAACAACTAATTTAATTTAAAGTGTATTCTTATATTATATGATAAAGGAAAATAATAACTATAGTAAAATATATAATTGCAAAACATTTAATATCTACTATCTAGCCATATAGGGTATAAACTAGGTACACTAAAAAATTTGTGAGTATGCTAATAAAATACAAGAAGTTTACAATGTATTTATGTATATAAAATATAAAGATTGATAACATTATATTGTTTTAAATACTTCACGCAAAACCTAAGGTGATACCCGGCTTATAGTATACCTATGCAAAAAGGCACTTATTAAACTTGGAGTAGTGAAACGAAGACGGACTTTGGACTGTTCGGTCTCGCGTATTTTATACATGACGCTTTTAGGATTAAACTTATAAATGCTTCTACGTCACCCAGTTAACAGATTGTCCGGGACAATAAATATTTAATTCAAGTCTTAAAGTAAATGTAAAATACTAAAATAGCAATAATATGAAAACAAACTTACGCGTAAACATCGACTCTTCCGGTGAAATCTAGCTAGAGTGCCGCCGTCGTCGAAAAAACGGCTATCTTCATCCATCATCATCTTGCTGAGAACTGAAACTTGAAAGTATCGAAATATTTAATGAAAATAATCTGACCATAACGAAATGTGTGAATTTGTGCTAACAAACTGTCCGTATATATTGATCGCTTATTATTTTTTTGTTCACTGAAATTATTAGAATTGTTAATCGTCGCCGACGAATGTCGACAATTGACGATTGCCATAGATATTATTATAAAATATATTATTCACTATGATAAATCCATAGAACTTATATACTATATACTAATTACCTAAACGGTCTTTGGTAAATCGTACGTATTTTTACAGAAATTTTTGTGATCAGCAATGTACTTATTCTGGTTTTCTATTTCATTCATAGTTCGCATGCTAAATTTAACTATACGAAACTGGTCCGCAAATGTATAGACATTCTATTAAATTACAATGTGAATTATTATAAGTCTTCTTTGTGGTACTTTCCAAAAACTCGACTACCGGGATTTAAATTTAAAAAAATGTGATTTAGGTAACCTATTCGCTATTGATCTATTATAAAATAGAAACTGAACCTATACCAATAATATCACTATATAAAATAATAAAATGTGATAATTTGAAGACAATTTCTTAAAACCTCTAAGATATTTTAGATTCTGAGTGGAACGATGAATGTATTGATTTTACAATGATGTGTGTTTTTTTTATTTTTTTATTGTTTTTTTTATTTTTTTGGGTCTGTACACGATAAGTAGTCGAGATAATGCTTCGAACATAGAATTCAAATTTAACACCATCTATTACAGTGACCCACTTGTAACCTACTGTACAGCAGATCGATATCTACTTATCCACTTTTTAAACTCACCATTCAATGGTGACCATTGTAGGTATAGCTATAGCTCAGATTCCTAGCTTGGTCTGCTATACATCGAGAACATATAGAATAATGTGCAACGTCTACAACTTCCAAGCCCTAGATATAACAGAACCAAGGTTATTTCCCATTATAATTTATAAATATTAAATCTATGTTACTTACCTGTAATTTATTTTGTTCTGAAGACCACGAGTTATTGTTGTACCTACTTGATCGATCACATATTTTAATAGCGTAAGATTAAAAATTGGTATAATAATTAGATGCTAATATGTGATGCTCTGCGCAGAGCTAGGAGAAAATATTTACCTATTTAAGTGCCATAAAATAATTAATCCCCATTAATGATACATCGTGTCTGCGATTCAATCTGTGATCGATTTAAGATATGAAAATATATACTTATTATATTATTCTATCTATTTATACGATATGACCGTATCTGGACCAGACGACCTATGAAGGGTGTAATCGCGTAGTTAAATAAGAGTCAGTTATAATATGAGATTGAAATGTTCAGAAGAATTTTCAGATATATATGATCAAATTAAATATTATTAAATTACTATATTTATAAATGAAATATATATTTATATTATACATACCTATATGATATTGTGATTAAATACGCGTCCTAAGTAGTAATAGATTAATTGTACAATATAATTAGGGTACCTATTAATTAATATTATTTATGTTAAAGAGGTCAAAGTCGATGCATTAGAATTAATGTATTGTTTATTAGAATATTGTAATAGTTTATAACTAATAATTTACTAATTTTTTACACAGTGTTAAAAGTCTTGGTAAATGTTTGTGTATAGCAAAATACTAAGGCAATTTATGACTTAAAATTGTAACTTAAAAAAAATTAATTTTTTTTTATCTGAGTTAAGTTTATTTTATTTTATTTTTAACTTTAAACTTTTCTAGTTAAATATATTTTTTTTTTTGACTATTAACTTAACTGAAGGCAATTTAATTTAATTAACTTAACTCGCCACAGTTAATTATTTTCATTAACTTGCCTACCTCTGCTATTGACTATGATAGCTACTCCAACACATCGGTCCAATTACGCGTCAGGCGTTCTATTATTATTCACAGTACACGTGTGTGTGTGTTATTAACTTATTATGAAACGTTTACACAACGTAATTCACCATACGTATTCCCCCATGCACATATTGACCTAAATCGATCAGATTACAGCCGGGTTCGTCGAGGCGATTGTTGTTGTTAATGAATAATGATAATACGGAAAAAAAATAATAATGAATATTGTGTTGTTTAAACGTTTCGTTCACTTCCGGGATTATAAACTGTAAGGTAGCCTTGGTGCAGTTGGTCAGTATAAATGATGCACGTTCGTCGCCGTCTTAAACGCCTCCGCATAACTACGAGCTATTGGTTTTTACTTTTTTCCTGTTCGATGCGGATAAATAAATACATTTTTACTTATTAGATTTCGTCGAACTAGAGAGCCGACTGACGTCACAGACGCTGTTGTAACGTGTCCGTTCTTAGCACTCGAAATTGAATTGGAAGTATAATAAAGATACACAAATTTCGTATACTCAAAGTATTCTTTATTAATTATAACAAATGTCCGTTCTCGTCTTCAAGCAGGTACATACTCTTGTCGACTCTAGTGCTCGACTCTCACTCCCCTACTTTGTCCATGACTTTCCTATTTATGCTAATCGGAGTCACCTTGTTATGATCACGTCCGTACAAACTAAACTAGGTGCACGCTATTTCTAGTCTTCACCTTTGGGCTTTGATCCGATCACAAGCTTTCCTATAATATGGTTTTTTATAGCAAAGTCAGTGAATTCATATACATTATTTTACTATTGTATTACATACTAATAATGAGGATTATTACAACGCGACCGTCCAATCGAAAACTTTTGTACAATCCCACTAAATACAGTCGATTTTCTTTGTCTATGATTATCACTTTATTAATATATTATTGTCATGACGTGTTCATGTCTCTAGTCTCTACGATTACCATCCCGCATCCCCTTAGTCTAAGCTTGTTCGCGGTTGTCGTCAATACTCCCGTCCCCGTCAATCGCCATCACGAACATTGAGAGAATATACTTATTAGGTACTTAATTCGTGCTCGTCAGTCGGTGCGCGCGCTTTTGTCCCTGGTAGTGGCACGGATTATATAAAACCGATATTATAATCATTCTGTGGTAGTGGCAAAAACGAGTAAACGATTGATAATGCACAATCGTTAACGTTATATTCCGTTTAATTGCGTCGCGTCGTCCGAACCGGCCGTGAATCCCGCTCGCCTTACGTTGGTTCGCCGATCACGTTCGTCGTATTTCGTAGTTTCGTCGCTCACCACTGCCGCCGCTCGTCCACACAATCGCAACAGCTGACCGTCGCGTCGTCGTCGTCGTCACCCACTGACCCACCTCCGCGGCCGCGTCTTTTATCATTAAATATTTGTCCGTGAATAAATAGATTGCAAAACCTTCCCCGCGGTTCGTCGTTTTGATTATCTTCTCACCATCCCTCCGCCGTTCCGTTCGCTCGTCCTCTCGCACCACCCGCAATGTCGGTTTCGGCCGTGAACAGGATCGGACTCAGGGCCAAGATATGGAATTCGCTGACCGGCCGGGTGGGCCCGAAGACGTATTTCACGTACACTCCCGAAGTGTCGCAGGTGTTGGACCGCGAGCCGAAGTGGGTGTCCGCCGACGAAGCCGTCCAGTGCATAAAGTCCGGTAATAGTGTACTTTCAGTTCTCGCCAATTGTCTGCCCCGACGCCGATGACGCAAATAGCCAACATTTTCAAGGGGGTGGGGGGCGGGGGGCTTTGGTCCCCTGATATTATTTTATAAGTTAATGTAGTAATAAGTAATAACCCTGTTGTGAAAAATGTAATAAGTAAATTGTATAAAATATGTATACAGGTACCTATACCGTTACGATATTGTTTGATGGCGACTTGTTAAGATTTTTTTCGGGGTAGAGTAGTATGGTTAAAGACCATCCTATTTGTAGCACTGCCGAACGCATAAACTCTTATATTTTAATTTCAATTTTTTTGGTCTGAGGTCCTTCTGATGATGATTATTAAATTCAATCGTTGACACGTTATGACAAGTACCTATATTACTCTACGGTTAGGTAGGTACAAGTGTGATATATAAAAGTTTCTGAAGTTCTGACAATGGGTAATATTATGTTTGAAAATATATTAAACAGCTCGTGTCACTTGCTATCCATTGCCACGATTGCCGGATTGCACACTTTAAATTGTATTGGTACTACCTAGTACCTATCATATACAAATGTACATATTTACTACTAATACAAGTAGATCCAAGATGTTTTTGTCTCCGAAGCTACAAAGCAATATTTTTCTTTCTCGTGCTAAATTGGAAACAATTTTGTGTCCGGTTTCATATAGGTATAAATTGTCAAGGTTAAAGTTATAAAATTGTGTAATGCAAATTTGAAATTCATTTTAATTCAACATTTATTTTACAAACCAACATTGAAACTGGAAATGTGTATTTTTTTCTAATGAAGATAATAGAAAATAGAAATAAAGTACTCAAAATGTATCGGTAAGAATATACAACTTGCAAATAATTAATAGGTTAACAGTCTGTTTTTAACTTTTTATAATTTGCATAAAACTAAAATATAAGCTATGGTAAAACTGACAAATAGATACCTACTTGAGAAATATTGATTTAAAGGAAATAAATTCCTCTGTACTTTTCTCAAGACAGCTTATAAAGATAGTATTCAGAATTTTCATTAAAAATAGAAATTACAGAGTAGAAAAATGTATTAGAGTGTATATTATACAGTATGGTTCAACAAATATTTGGTAGAAGCTATTAAAAGTTGCAATTGCGAGTATTTATATTTTTATCTTAAATTATTATGTCAATTATTAATTATTAATTAGTTCGTAGAATAGATAAAAAAAATTAAAACATTAATGTAAATTGTATTAATTATATGCTTTTGGTTATTTTAGATCTAATAAACTATTTTGCTTACAGATAATACAATTTTTGTGAGTGGTGCTGCTACTACACCAATTGAAATTCTCCGCAGTATGACTGATCATGGAAAACAAAAGCAATTAAAAAATATTCGTGTATGTAGCATTCATACCGAATTTGAGTCACCATATTCAACCCCAGAATGTGAAGGTGTGCCCATTTTATATAATTTAACAATTCAAAATACATTTTAAACATTTTTTTTTTTTTTAGGAATATTTCGACCAATGGCTTTTTTTATTAGTTCCAATATGAGAAAGTGTATAAATGAAGGTCGTGGTGATGCTGTACCAATATTTTTACATGATATACCTTATGTATTTGAACGAAATGTTATACCAGTAGATGTATCAATTATCTCGGTAAGGAAATAAGACTATTTTTTGTTCAAAGGCCATAGTGCTGTTCGTTATGCATTTTGACTATAACCATTCATCGTCATTTAATTATAACCTTAATAACAATGGTCCTGGTTAGTTATAGTTATAGTTAATATTTATTATTTGTATAGCTATTGGAACTTAATTAATTTGTATTTGAAGTTCAGAATCATAACCTGTTTATATTTACATAATAATTCTTGTATTTTAATTTCAGTATAATTTAACAAACAATTTTGTAGAAAGATTATTTTTTTGTTTATGATGGTTATAGTAAATACTATTTAAATTTACATAAATTATCTTGATGAGTTAAAAGTTGTTTCTTGGTTTAAATATACTTCAATTATTTTTTATAAATAGCTGTTGTTTTACAAATTCTATAGGTAAAAATATCCTTATTTTTATTTTGTTGAAATAAAGATTTATTATTAAAAATAAATATTATTAAGAAAACTGTCCGGTGACCGCGGCATCTGAGTCCATTTTTTATTAAAAATAAATAAGTTTACCGTTCTAATATTTACTATATAGTTATATGAGATTCGTAATAATTATAATTTTAATTATTAAATAATTTTATGACTTATGGTCAGGTTAGGTAAAAGTTATCTAAGAATAAAAAAAAAGAGATAACCTTTGTAATAGAGGTGAAGTAATAACTTATACTGTAATAAAATATTAAGTCTATATTGTATTATAGTCACAGAATAGTATAGTAACCACTTATCTTTTTAATTTTAGTATTGGGACAGGTATAAACTATTATATTTTATTTACATATTTCTTTATATTTAATGTAAGAAAGTTTTTAAATCTGAACATTGGACTTATGAGTATTGATAAATGATGTTTTCATTATAAAGTAAACATAAACAATAGTAATTATGTATTAGTAGTCAAATTATTATATAAATAATATGCACATTTAAATTATATATAATTCAAATTAAATTTTATTACTTAATGATAAACATTAAGAATTAACCTTTGAACACTTTATTATTTTAAATCAAATTGTATTATTACACTTGCAGTTGAATGAATAATAAAATATAAATAATTATTTGTATGAAACATTTACTTCATATCTTATACACTACACAGTATGACTACTATGTTACTATGTTTTATTTTTTGTTCAGTTAGTTTCATTAGATTTGTGAGGGGCAACGATGAAACAGTCTTCATTATTTTACAAAAATATAGATATTATTAACTAATATTAAGAATAACATTATCTTTTTTTTATATAACAATTCTTAGACTTAAGAAAGTTAATAACTATAGTAAAATATATCAAATACTTTTTATAAACACAAATCATATAAATGTTGTTTTTAATTATTTAAATAATAGATTAAAATTTTTAATTATAACATTTAATAACAACCTGTGAGTTCAGACAGTGATTTTTACTTTATTTGTTCTATACTCTGTCCAACGAGACAACATGACAATTCTGCACATTCCCACTTAACACCCTGCTATCGAGAGACTAGTTCTACTATGGTAGGGTGTTGTATGGGGATGCACATATGAACAGATTTTCAACAGAGCATGGCATGTTGTCTTGGTGGATAGCATATATTATGAGTATAACACATTACACATCTTATTATTTCACCCTATAAATAATTAATTTTTGATTTATATCCTGTTTAATATACAGAAAAATACTAGTGAAAAACAATGGTTGTAAATCAAAATGTAAAATGTTATTTCTGAGGTAGTATATAGCTGTGTTGATTTTTGAAATTTCAAGTCAATAAATGTAAAATAATTTTATTCCTAGTGTGAATCAATATTTAATCATTTTCAATTACCGTCTATGTTTCTATTATGTAGAAGAGCTTAAAAGTACTTTTGAAGAAAAATTATTTTTCTCTTTAAATATGATAATAGTATAAATTCAATTTTTTCAATTGAATAGTACCTTTAATCTACATACTGCATTTTGTCTTTTCATAAGTTATAGTGAAATTCAAATAATTAATTTCTAGTTAAAGTTTATCTTTTTTGTATGTACTTAATTTATTGTAAATAAACATTCAATTTCATTTATACTTTATAGATTGATTTATACATGCAATTGTATATTTTATGATATATTTTGCCAATCATGCAATGTGTTATAGGAAAAATCAAAAATGTATTTTAGTGCTATATTAAAGTACCAAATATTAATATGTTGAGAAGTTATTAATATTATATAATATTCATTCACTATAAAATAATCATTTTTTTTAATATTATTATATAAGTAAAGAATTCTATAAAAAAATGTATATTTTTTAAATGGTATATTTTTAATCTCTATATTCTTATTGTTTAACTTTTCTAATGAGACAATTTAACTTTATTATTTATTTTAGGTATCACCTCCTGATCATCATGGTTTTTGCAGTCTTGGCACAAGTGTGGATTGCATCCGTTCAGCTTTAGGAAAATCTAAAATAATTATTGGTAAGCCAATTATTAATTTAAAATTTTAACTGGTAAATTTTTATGACATTTTTAAATTTTAATTTAGCACAAGTAAATAAATGTATACCTCGCACATTTGGTGAAGCCATCATCCATCAATCACATATTGATTATGCTGTCAGATGTGACCGTGAATTACCAGCTCATGAACACAAAGATCCAAATCCTACTGAAACAGCTATTGGCAAACATATTGCTGATAACCTTGTTGAAGATGGTGCTACATTACAAATGGGCATTGGTGCAATTCCGGACGCCACGCTTACCTGTCTTAAAGATCACAAGGATTTAGGAATCCATTCAGAAATGTTCAGTCTTGGTGTTATTGATCTAGTCAAGTCGGGGGTTATAACCAATCATAATAAAACATTTGATAAAGGACTGATTGTAACAAGTTTCTTAATGGGCAACAAGAAGTTGTATGATTTTGTCGATAACAATCCTTTAATATGTAATGCCTTTTTTAATTGATTAATTAAAAACTATATATATACCTAATTCTATAAATGATTTGTAGGTATGAGGCAAGTATCATATACCAATAATGTACATATAATATCTCAACAACCTAAAATGACTGCAATCAATTCTTGCATTGAAGTAGACTTGACTGGACAAATTGTGTCTGGATCTATTGGATATAGATTATACTCAGGTAAATAAAACATAAGTTAATTATGAAAAAATAAGCTAATACATGATAACGAATGGTTGTAAATTAATACCTATTTTAGGGTATGGTGGTCAAGTAGATTTCATTAGAGGAGCTGCTGAAGGTTTTGACGGTAAGGGTAAACCTATCATTGCCCTAGGTTCTGTGAATCCCAAAACTAAGGATGCCAGAGGCTTGCCAAGTAGCAAGATTGTGCCTAAAATTCAAGAAGGTAAAATATTTGAAGAGTACCCATACATTTTTAATAATTGATAATAACATTGATGTCATGCAACTATTTTATAGGAGCTACGGTAGTTACTACCAGTGCACATGCACATTATGTGGTGACTGAGTTTGGTGTTGCCTCATTGTTTGGGAAGAGTTTGAGACAACGAGCACATGCTTTGATAAATATAGCCCACCCTGACCACAGAGAATGGTTAGAAAAAGAAGCATTTAACCGTTTAAAAGTTATGCCAAGTGCATGAGCATTATTATATTATGTACTCAACATTTCAATGTATTATTATTTTTTTTTTGTTTAATTAATAATTATATTACCCAAGTAATTTATCAATCATGCTAAAATATTATGATTTATTCTTGTCCATATTGTGCTTATTTTCATATTGAGTATAAAAAAATAATGTATTAATGATATATTTTTCACTCATAGTTTGTTTTAATTTTTTTTTTTACGAAAAACCACGCCGTGTTAAACACTTATATTTGTTATTGAGTAATTAATATGATATTCATTTAAAAATATTCCCAATATTCTCTATAAATAAATGTACGAGATAAAATTATTTTCTAAACATGATGTATATTTCTATAAAATATGGAAAATATGGTGTTGTGGATCTCAATAATGTTACTAAAAGAAACTTAAATTGTATAATTTTGTTTCGTCATACAGATGATTGGCGATTGAAATTGATAAGCTGTAACGTGGATGCTGTGTATCATGTATATGTTATTTTTCCAGTTGCCTTTTACAGTTCGACCCCCCCCCCTTGGTTGGAAAACATATAAGCTTTCAATCGCCAATACCTAGTGTGTTGCTATAATCAAGGATTAAATAATTAGGTACCTATTCTATTTTCATAAAAACAAATAATTATAGATTTGTAATAAATGTATTTTGACTATTATGTGTAAACCATTAATTAAAATTGTAATGTTTATTATTTTATTAAAAATAGCATCAAATCTTAAGTATAAAAGATGTTTTAATGTTTAACTTATCCGTTAAAAATATAATCAGTGTTGGGAAAAAACAATTACTATTGGCCAACCAATGGTTAAAACTTAGTTAATACAAATTAAGACTATAATTTAAAACTGATATATTTTGATAAATAATAATTTATTTTATGTTTCAATACTAAACAATTAAACTAATTGTATTATTGATATTGAAATAAATCCAATTTAACTGTGAAAAAAACTTGTTTTTTCTAAAACTCAGTGATTAATTTGGTTTTAGTGTTGCCAAGTAGAATGCCTGTATATTTTTTGAAATTAATGCATTTTATCTTAAACTTAATCATTAAATACTTTAATTATACAGTATTTTGCATAGTATTGTACCTACATAATTAGCTTAAGAATGTAGGTACTAGGTATGCAGAAAATAAGTTCAGTGGCTGCAAACCACGGTTATCTATTGGGTAGATAACCCTGGTGCAAACCTTACTTGCTTTTATTATTATATATTTCTTCTACCAGGGACCTCGGTTTCAAAAATATTTTTAGGTGAATTTACAAATTTACATACACAATGGCATATATTATATATTCTTCTAATCAGTTACTGTGTACTTCCTCGAATCAGTTCATCCATCATATTAATTAATCATAACATCAATATAGTTAATATTCTAAATTAAAACAATTTAGTGGAAAGCAGAACTATGAAAAAGTATTTTTTAGAAGGGACATGCTCACAGTGGGTGGAGGATGTCATTTTTTTTGTCATATAAAATTTAATATGATAAAACAATGAATGTAAATTTGTTATTAATTGCTATAGAACGTGGCCAGAAAATAGTAAAAAATGTATATACCCTCCGCTTTCAAAAAAAATGGGCATACCACTGCGAAGTAGGTACATTATTATAGCAGGGCACCTATGGCAGACCCATTAGCCATTACCATTCACTACGGTAAAATGACATTTTAAATTTTCATACGATTTTAAGCTAATTACTTGAAAAGTACGATATTATTAGTTTTAATTACATAATATGTAATTCAAAAGACAGTTAGGTACCTACTTAAAAGTAATCAGTATTAGGCCCAATTTACATTAAAACTATTAGGTATGACATTTGAGAAACAAAGGAAAATTAATCAATTAATATCTTATTCTTCACGTACATGACCATTAAGATCTTTTTGACCAACATATTTCATTCCACTCTTCTCTATTCATTGTTAATTACAGAATTCCTGTAAATTCTCCCCAATCCCCACATCTACAGTTTTTCATATCACTCCTTGCTAGGCTTGGGGGGGGGGATGCAGCGGGACAGAGTACCAATTTTTTAGAAATTTTAGAGTACCCGTATTATTATTTTTAAGGGAAACTTCGGGACACTTCATTATTCGGTATTCCGCATTTTTATCAAAATTCACGAGACACCATCATAATTTGTCTTATGGATTGTCTCATAACCGTGGATTTATAAATTATAATACCTATGTAATAATATATTAGTTTGTATTATTTTTTTATAAATTGATAATTTATAAATATTTGTTATATGGTTTAAAGAGGGGTATTAGGGGGTATTTCGTGAATAGCCCCCGCCCTCACGGGCTCATTAACGTTTAACAAGTGATGTGGACGCTCTTTTTTTTAAAAGTAAACAGAGGGCTGTCGAACGATTGAGATTTGTGAACGTTATACTTTTTTGGACGAACGATTGAGAACACTTAAAAATAACAAAGAACTTACCGCTAACCCAAAAACAAACCCAAAAAAGAAGAATACGATTGAGAACGAATTTAAGTGCAACGTTGCCAATTGCAATATCATTTATTGATTTATTTGGCTAGGTAATGAAAGATTCATGTCTGTATGCATAAAATAAATATTCTTAAAAATAGTCATCAATTAATAATAATTAAAACAATTAAAATATTCATAGTTCATACTAAGGATAATAATCTTTAAATATGGTTTTACAAAAATATAAACTATATGTAATATTAGATTTAGGTAGTATTCGTTAAACTTCAATCATTTTTACAAATTATTTATATTGATAGATCATTAGTAATTACTAACATTTTTAGATCATCTAAGACCCCTGCAAATCTACTTAACCTATTGGCTATTGCCATAGGGCATATAGACAATATGTGAATAATATTTTCTTAGTACCTTGAATCTAACTATCGTAGCTGTTTTCAATATTCTTTCTGCTTGAATTTTAATAACAATTAACATAATATATTGCTAATTCAATATCAACAAAATATTATCGTGCTCAAATTATCATTCGATTAAATTTGGCAACGTTGGAAAAATAAAAATTTTCGAGCGTTTTCAATCGTGTTACCAAAAATACCGTACTCAATCGTATTTTACCTAAACAGAGCCCCCTTACTTTAATTTTGACAAGTCGAGCACTGCTCCTCACTTGATTTTCCCATATTGTCCTTGGACGTCCCAAGGGTCTCTTTCCATTTGGCACAATATCTTGGATTATTCGTATCAAAGCTCCTTCTTTTCTCCATGTATGTCTCGCCCACTGGAGACGCTTCTTTCTAATTCAATTAATGAATATAAAAATAATAATTATTGTATTTGATATTTATTTATTATATAAAAAAAAAAAATAATCAAATTTTTTAATTAAGTTCATGGGTAATTAAAAATAAACTTACATAAAATATATATTTGATCGATTAAAGATTTATAAATAATTTTAAACGCGTATAAACTCTTAAGATCACGCTACCTATACATTTGTTGTCTCCGTCTTACACACGCACGACATTGCAAATTTTTGTTCACTAGTTTCAATAGTGTGCTGTTAGTTTTGATACTAGAGTGAACTGACCTATTATAAAACTTTTAGGTAAGAAAATTATCTGTCCTCAAGCTTTTCCGATTTTTCGAAATTTTCATTTTCAAGCAAGATATGGCTATGTGAAAAATAAAAAATAAAAAATACTCATATCTCGCTTGAAAATGAAAATTTCGAAAAATCGGAAAAGCTTAAGCACTAAGCACAGATAATGTTCTTACCTAAAAGTTTTATAATAGGTCAATTTACTCTAGTATCAAAACTAACAGCATACTGTTGAAACTAGTGAACAACAATTTGTTATGTCGTGCGTGTGTAAGACGGAGACAACAAATATTATAGGTACATGGGTAGCATCCTCTTAAGTAAGCTGAATACAGTCTACCGTCGACGATTAAATTTTGTTTTTTTACAATAGGTACATATGGTTAAAATAATTGTTAATTTATAATTACCTACTTCATACTTGGTACAATAATTTTTTTTCCGCAGTTACGAATGCAAAACCTCAGATTTACGATAGGAATCTATTTGATGGCATCACCTCTAACCAAAATACAACTATAGGTACATGTCTACTTAATATCAATACCAAACACGGAAATCAAACATATCACAGTATTAAGGGGGCCGGTGCCGGTTTTTAGAATTTTCAAACTTTCCGCAATTCTATACAATTTGAAAATTATATTTTATATTTTAGTTGCTCCTTTAATTATTATAATACTGCTCCACTAATCTACCACCCAACACCTATTAAAGGGGGGTGTATACGATGACATGAAGGTATTATATCGAAAACAATGACAAAAAAAAAAATTGAGATTAGTTAAACGTATGACAAATTTTATGAAAATTATATGCATAGTAAATTATTCAAGAAATATACTCCAGAAATTCCCAAAAAGAATATTTTGAAAAAAGTTATTACATTTCAAATTAAATTACTTCAAAAAAATATTGATATTTTAAAAATTGTAAAAAATAAACTATTTGACTTAAATAAACGTTTTTACCATCAAAATTTGACTAAACTTTAATAGTATGAAAACATTTTTAGCTTTGAAATTTCAATGTTGTGGAGTACTAGAATACATAACCCGTGTTTTCTTATACATTTATGATAACTACATCTTGACCATTCTCTTGTAAACATATTGCAGATTCCACCCTCGATGTGATGGATTTATCGTTGCTTTCAAGTATCAATATAATGTTAAGAGCCAAAGAGGGAAGATAAACCCACGACCCTTGTGAGTAGTTGTGACTTGCTGTCTTGCGTATAGTCTCTCATCATTTTTTTTTTAAATTTTAGTATTTGTTTATGCGTAATACACTAATATTTGATCGATATCATTCAACGTAAAATAGCTCACTTGGAGGGAAATTTTCCCATCATGGGTATAATTTTAGATGCAGACATTTTTTTTAAATTTAAATTTTATTTT